AAAAGCATTACTCTATACCTATAATCCATATTATGTATATTTTATATTATTATATTATAAGCATACAAGGTGAAACAGATAAAACAGACTTTTGGAATAACTTTTTTTCAAATAAATATTTTTACTAAAAGTAAAAAAAATAAAATTTCATAATAATTTTTTTGGATAAATTAAAAATAGCTCATTTTTTAATCTGATTATAAGAACAATTTTGATGATAAAATGATTGAAGTCAAGTAGTTTATTTTTTAGAATTTTTTAAAATTCAATATTTTTTAGATTAAATAAATTTGGAACGTATTAGCTTTTTTAAAAATATGGTTTTTAAGAATTTTCTAACATGAGTATATTCCTTAAATTATTTAATTATCACATAATTGTCAATATAATCTAACCCTGAATGGATGTATATCTACTATTTATAAAAATGCTCTGGGGAGGGAGGGTTGGCTCTATTTTTTTCGCCCCTTCCCCCCATGAACATCATGTATTACCACCACTGGATGATCCTACAGCCAATAGTTATTCAGTAACCCAGAATAGTTTAGTTCATCTGAGATATTGTTATTATTATTTATTTACAAAATAACACGATGATCTTGAAGAATAATCTTCCACAGACATGAAAACATTATTTATCAATAATATGATACCATATAGTCATATAAGTTATGTATTTTATGGTTGATAATTGGGGCAATTACATTTGATTTTATGATATAACTATTAAATAATATGATATAAACAGTTTTAATATACATAATAGCATTTTACATTGTATTAATCCTCAAAAACTTAGAAAATAATATACATGCATATAAATTGATAATACAATTTTTAAATGTTATTAATAGTTTGATATTATAATCTTGTGATTCTTTGAAAATTATAATTTTTAGTAAGAAATTAGTTATTATTRTTTATACCGTTATAAAATTACATTTCACTAGAAATTGGTAAATAAGCTAAATGTATGGTTTTACAAAAAAAAAAAACAAAATGAAAAACTTGGATTCAAATACATACCATAAAAAATCGCAAAACAGCTTAAACACAAATATTACAAAATTATAGAATAGTTGAAGAAATAAACCAAATATTGACCCTCTCAATTAGTTAACTATAAAATGAACTATTAATAATACTTAGTATAACATTATAATCACATTATGGGATACTTAGATATTTTTAACAAAAGTTACGTGGAATTACTCCCAAATTTCTCCAACCTTTTTAACCTAATAATTCGCTGCTGTTCAGTTTCTTCTTGGATCAGCTGATCTTCACTGCCACTGCTGCTGCTAAATATTTAAATTATTATTAATATTTTGAAATACAGTTAAGTACATTATTTATACAATTTATTTTTTAATTCAGTATAATTTTAAAAAAAAAATGTATATGTTTGGTAAGAAAAACTAGCATTAATGTACAATGGATATTTTTAAATTATCTCATTTATAGTTTCAGATACCTAATTAAAAATTTTGTAGTGTAATATAAAAACAACCATTTACTGTACCACACATTTTAAACAGAATAGTATTTATTGAAAAAAAGAAGGATATTTGCAAACTTGCAACACTTACTGAAAATGGTAACATTCTACATTTTTAATCCAATGTGAAAATATCACAGAATAATATATCACCTACAAGGTGGAGACTGGATATTAATTAATCCTCCTTGATACATAATAGGGATGGTCACTAATTTTAATTTTGAAAGCCAGCAATTTATGAAGCTAATTCAAAACAAGCCGAATTGTTAAGAGATGGACCTTATAAAATGGTAAACTTTCATTTTGTAACAAATGAAGAGATATTATTTTTTACATTACACAGAATATAATTGTTCAGGAACACTTCAAGAAATGTGATTTTACTTTTGTAAAGTGCTTTTAATATCATTCTTTTATATATTTCTCTTAAGTTTGGTGTCAAGAGTTGCATGCRGCTTACGAGCCTCATTGTAGCCAATCCTGATATTATTTAAACTGAAGAGCACTGGGTGTCAACGACAGGGCATGCAATTGTCAACGACAATGGTTTGTGGGTGTGGGGTGATTGAGCAAACTAGAAGATTTTGTTTGTCATAGTGTCATTCAATGTGTTTTTATTAAAAAAAAAAAAGAGTAATAATAATAAATAGTAATATTATATATTCAGTTCTGTGAAAATACCATAGACCAGAGGTTCTAAACTGTGGGTAACGATTTATTTTAGGTGAATTGCGTTATATATTTCTAAATAATTAATTTTTTTTTAATCAACTTTATTCTATTACTTTTATTTGATGTCAAAATTCAGTTTTATCATTAATCTACTAGTTTGAGGATTAGAAGTAGTACTGCAACCACGACTTAAGGTATAATYATAGATAATATATATATTATCTATGGCATAGGCGTGCGCACAGAGTATGCAGGGTATGCCACTGCAAAGTCTGCGAGCTTCATTTGAAGGGCCCATGTTTATCATAACTAGGGTTCGGGACTTCTTGCATTTGCATGTTTTTTTGTAGTGGTCTTAGACTTTTCTAAGTGAGTTATAAATTTGTTTTATAAAATTACGAAATTAAATACTAAGTTTGAATTTGCATATTTTTGCATATTTCGTCATATTTTAAGAAAAACGCATATTTGAGCAATTTTTAGCATATTTCGGCATATTTAACATTTTATATTTTTATAAACGTAAAATTGTCGAGAAAAATCATAATTGGATGGCCATAGTCTGTCGTATCCAACACGTACGTCTGTTTACGACGATAGTCTCTTTATCGCTTAATAATCAACCTTTTTATCGACAACATCGACAATTAGTATAGTTGTGGTAAAACCTAATGGATCCTATACTAAAGATTTATCTTATTATCACGAAACAAATATAAATTTAAACTTTACCAAATAATCAATTATTAGCCGGGTATGAATTGTACGATGAAATGAAAATCAGTACGTGTTCGTTCGTTAGTAAAAACATCACGTTTACGTTTTGCTTATTAACTGTGC